TTAATCCGTGAAGAGAGACCATGATCATGAAATGAGGGGCACGGGCTGTCATGTCAAGCCCAGTCCTCAGGAGCACCCACAGATTTCTACCTCTTTCTTTTTCTTTTCTATGTTTTTTGTGGTTTTTTTTGCACTGGAAGATGCATGAATTTTTTAAAAATATGTTTGTATTGATCTCAGAGAGGAAGAGAGAAGGGGAAAGAGATAAAAACATCAATGATGAGAGAATCATGGATCGGCTGCCTCCTGCACGCCCCACACTGGGGATGGAGCCCACAACCCGGGCCTGTGCCCTGACGGGGAATCTATCCGTGACCTCTTGGTTCATAGGTCAATGCTCAACCACTGAGCCACACTGGCCAAGCTCTACCTGTTTCTTTTTAAAAGTGGAGTAATTAGCCCTAACTGGTTTGGCTCAGTGGATAGAGCGTCGGCCTGCGGACTGAAGGGTCCCAGGTTCGATTCCGGTCAAGGGCATGTACCTTGGTTGCAGGCACATCCCCAGTAGGAGGTGTGCAGGAGGCAGCTGATCAATGTTTCTCTCTCATCGATGTTTCTTCTTCTCTAGCCCTCTCCCTTCCTCTCTGTAAAAAATCAATAAAATATATTTTTAAAAAATAAAATAAAAAATAAAAGTGGAGTAGTTACCTATAAATGCACCAACCATTTTTTTTATATATATATTTTATTGATTTTTTACAGAGAGGAAGGGAGAGGGATAGAGAGTTAGAAACATCGATGAGAGAGAAACATCGATCAGCTGCCTCCTGCACAACCCCCACTGGGGATGTGCCCGCAACCGAGGTCCATGCCCTTGACCGGAATCGAACCTGGGACCCTTCAGTCCGCAGGCCGACGCTCTATCCACTGAGCCAAACTGGTTAGGGCTGCACCAACCATTTTAAACCACTGTCCTGCTTTTAAGTGAAGAAAGGCACCTTTTAATGCTGTTTTCAGGATTTCCGCTCCCGGGGAGGGACATCCGAAGCCAGGCCACTAGCAGTTAACCTCCCCGAGACCCCTGCTCAGTTGACATTCACTCAGACCAGTTTGCCGACCATGGTCTTAGACACTTCATTGTAACATCTGACCCTCTTTTCACTGAGCTGTGGCCTTCGGCTGGCTCCTCTCTGAGTTGCCTAGTTCTGGCCCGTGACTCGGCCATCCGTCCTCAGCAAAGACACCAGGCAGCACTTCACCGGTCTCGAGTGTCAGCTGCAGGGACACGCCCCCGTCACTGCAGCAGCTGCAGGCCCTGTGGCAGCGGCCTCCCAGGAGACGGGGCAGGCGGGCCACCCCTCTGGTTAGTTGAGTAACAGTCACGCTCAAACCACAGCGAGTACGTCCGCGGGTCCGCAGTGTGGAAAGCCCTCAGCCGGAGGGTCACGGCATCCCCTCGGCTCACAGTCACGGACGTGCCGACCTCCTGGCCGCGGCCTTTCCGCGGTGAGTGGTGACCGCCAGCAGGCGGCGCGGCCAGTCCGGGGCGCCTCCCGGCACACTGACCGCTGTCCCTGCTCCCTTGTCCTCCTCGTTGGCAGCCACCTGCGGCGGGAACCTGACCGGCCCGGCGGGGGTCATCCTGTCCCCCAACTACCCGCAGCCGTACCCTCCCGGGAAAGAGTGTGACTGGCGAGTGAGGGTGAACCCCGACTTTGTCATCGCCTTGATCTTCAAAAGGTACCTCTCCCGTTGAACACCTCTTTTTATTTTTATTTTGTTTGATTTCTATTTATTTATGTATTTTGTTACTCCTCATCAGAAGATTTTTTTCCATTAATTTTTAGAGAGGGTAGAAGGGAGAGAGAGGCAGAGAGAGAAGCATCGATGTGAGGGACACCTCAATCGGCTCCTCCTGCTCACCCCCCACTGGGGACCGAACCTACAACCCGGGCCTGTGCTCGGACAGGGAATTGAACCCTGACCTCCTGGCTCAGGAGTGGACGCTCAGCCAGGGAGCCACACGGCCGGGCATACCCAGCTCTTGAAACCTCATTTCAGTCCGAGGTCCCGGTGCCGGGAGGGACAGTCTGTTCCTGAGCCCCGCGCCCTGCCGGCCTCTCTCAGGGATGCTGTGTACATGTGGCAGCCCCGTGAATACGGATGCATCTGTGGCCACTGATGTCTGTTATCGTTCTTCCTGTCTCGGCATTTTGGTTCCGTCTCACTTCTGGAATGTTCTGATTTTTAAAAGCCACACGAAAGGCAGAGCCCCTGTGCTGGGAGACTGGCCTGGGCGGGGGAGCGCACGGGGAGGCCCTGACGGGCTTCTTTCTCTTTAGCTTCAACATGGAGCCCAGCTACGACTTCCTGCACGTGTACGAGGGCGAGGACTCCAACAGCCCGCTCATCGGCAGCTTCCAGGGCTCGCAGGCCCCCGAGCGCATCGAGAGCAGCGGCAACAGCCTCTTCCTGGCCTTCCGGAGCGACGCCTCCGTGGGCCTGTCCGGCTTCGCCATCGAGTTCAAAGGTACCATGTCCAGCGCCCAGCGTCCAGGCCCCTCCGGTCACTCCTGCGGGAAGAGGGCCGGGCCGGCGGGCGCGTGCAGGAGGCAACCAATCCCTGTGTCTCCCGCATCGATGTTCCTCTCTGTCTTTCCCTCTCTCTCCCTCTCTCCCTCACAGAAAAATATCCTTGGGTGAGGATGAGCGAGAGAGAGAGAGAGAGAGAGAGAGAGAGAGAGAGAGAGAGAGAGGGAGGGAGGGAGAAAAGGGAGGGAGGAGGAAGGGAGGGAGAGAGAAAAGAGAAGAGAAGAGAAGAGAAGAGAAGAGAAGAGAAGAGAAGAGAAGAGAAGAGAAGAGAAGAGAAGAGAAGAAAAAAGAAAAGAAAAGGATTAAGGAAAAAGCCCATAGACACAGACAAGAGTGTGATGACTGCCGGAGGGGGAGGGGAGGGGCGTGGGAGGGGAAGGGGGGTAAGTGGTGATGGAGGGAGACTGGCCTGGGGAGTGAGCACAGGACACAGTGCACAGATGACGTACGTAGAATTGTACACCTGGATCCTGTATGATTGTCTTAGCCAATGCATCACTGTTCTTAACTTAACGAATGGACCAATCCCCTCTCAGGAAGTCGGATTCCCCGCCTCTTCCCAGGCAGCTGAGGTGACTCGGTACAAAGTCAGGAAGCGAGCTTCAGTTTTTCCAGAATCAGTGTTTTTGGTTCAGCACTAAGGTCTGTAGTTAATGGGAGGATGGATGTAGAAAAAGGAAGTGCTGCCTTTTCTTTTAACCAAGAATAAGTAATGGAATAGCAAGTGTGCAGTAAGATGTAGTTTGAAAACTGGGAACTATAATTTGATTAAAAGTTTTTCTATGATATTTAGTTATTAACTGGGTAATTAGTAACCTGATCATCTTTCCTAGTATATGTAATTATTAACTTGATAATTAATTAACACCTTGGTCCTTGGTTGATCGGTAAAAATTTTTTGAGCATTTCTCATATGTTGGGCTCTAGTCTAGGCACTAAAAAACAGCCAACCAGACAGCTAAACACACAGGAACATTAAGGCCCTCCCCCATAGAGGTCACCCGCCCCCACGGGGGTCACCTGCCCCCACGGGGGTCACCCGCCCTCACGGGGGTCACCCGCCCCCACGGGGTCACCCACCACCATAGAGGTCACCTGCCCTCACGGTTGTCACCCTCCCCCACGGGGGTCACCCGCCCTCACGGGGGTCACCCACCCCCACAGAGGTCACCCGCCCCCACGGGGTCGCCCGCCCCCATGGGAGTCACCCACCCCCATAGAGGTCACCCGACCCCACCGGGGTCACCCACCCCCATAGGGGTCACCCACACTCACAGGGGTCACCCACCCCCACAGAGGTCACCCACACTCACAGGGGTCCCCTCTATTTCTCCTGCAGAGAAGCCCCGGGAAGCCTGCTTTGACCCCGGGAACATAATGAACGGGACCAGAGTCGGGACGGACTTCAAGCTGGGCTCCTCCGTGACCTACCAGTGTGACTCCGGCTACAAAATCGTGGACCCTGCATCCATCACGTGTGTGATCGGAGCGGACGGGAAGCCGGCCTGGAACCAGGCCCTGCCCACCTGCAGTGGTACGTGCGCGTGTGTGACAGCTGCCCCGCCTCACCTCCGGCAGGCCCAGCTCAGTCACCGAGGGCCCTCAGCACAGACTGTCCTGTCCCCCCGTCCTCACCTCCGGCAGGTCCAGCGCAGTCACCAAGGGCCCTCAGCACCGTTCCCTAGTCTGTGGTGGGGATCACTTGCTCGCAGAGCTAAGGCGGGAAATGCAGGCGACCTTCCTCCTTCCTTGAATCAGCCAGGCCTCAGCCATCCTCCCAGTACCTGGAGGGGGACTGTTTCTCTCCCTCAGAGAGTTCAGCATTTTTACTCCCATTTTGTGTATCTGATCTACATAGAGGTACCGATGAGCAGTTCCTAGGTGTGCTCTCTCTGTCTCTCTGTTTCCTTCCCTTCCTCTCTCCATTTATACATACGCAATATACATAGATGACACATGCACACATGTAACATTAAAATGAATGTGTCACTTCCCCCCACAATTCAATAGCTTGTAACTCCTTATGTAGATGCTAAATTAATAAAATCACCTATTGAAGGTCAGATCCACGTGTGAGAACAGACAAGAGTCCTCTCCAGTGACAGGAGCCAGAGTAATGCCCCTGATCTCATACATGGGGAAGGGCCTGGGGAACATTGTTCATCTCAAATCATTAAAACTCCCATTTCTCCATTTATTATTGTTAATGTTATAGTTGAAATTTTGAAGATTACATTTTATTAAATTGATCTATGTATATATATATATATATATATATATATATATACACACACACACACACACACACACACACACACACATATACACACAGACACATGCATAAAGGGAAACATACATTTATTATATGTTTAAATCTATGTTAAATATATGTATATCACGTATAAATACATGTATATATAAAGAGTAGTAGGCATATATGCAGTGTTGATTGATAAAGGAATTCTGTGAACCTGTTAGCACTGGATAGTGTGTGATTTTTGTAGCAAATCGTGGTTGTGAATTAGGAAGCCTGGTTTATGAGCCAGCGCGTTCTGTTGATCTGCTTCATGGAAAGTGCTGGCCAGCAGTGACTGTGAGTTGTGTGGACGGCGTTAGAAGGTTTGTAAAGCATGCACATTTTAGTCCTTCCCGGGTTTATTCGTAACTGGAAGTCACGACACACATGTGCGCTCACACTCACTCACACATACTCACATAGACACACACACTCAGACACACACACTCACATAGACACACACACTCAGACACACACTCACATAGACACACACACTCAGACACACACACTCACTCAGACACACTCAGACACACACTCACATAGACACACACTCAGACACACACATAGACACACACACTCAGACATACACACTCACATAGACACATACTCTCACACACATACACTCACACACACACTCACATAGACACACACACTCACATAGACACACACACTCAGACACACACTCACATAGACACACACACTCAGACATACACACTCACATAGACACATACTCTCACACACATACACTCACACACACACACTCACATAGACACACACACTCAGACATACACCCTCACATAGACACATACTCTCACACACAATCACACGCGCTCACAAACTCACACACAGACAGACATACACACTCACATAGACACATACTCTCACACACATACACACACACACACACTCTCAAATAGATACACACACAAACATAGACACAACTCACACATACACACTAACTCAGACACATGCACTCACATAGACACACACACAAACATAAGCACACAATCACACATACTCTCACACACATACACACACACAAACTCACGCACACACACTCAGACACACACAATCACATAGACACACACTAACATAGACACACACTCACAAACTCAGACACACTCACAAATACACAGGCACACGCAGCTCTGTTTGTAATTAACACCCCACCATCATATTGCCCCTAACTTTCTAGGTTTCAGTTGCTTCAGCTTTAAAGCAATCTTTTGAGAGACCACCCCACATCAGTAATTATATATGTTGCTCTTGAACTGAATCTAAGGTATTAAAGGCTGAAAAGAACACAAAAACTAGAAAGAAAACTCTTTTCTTTGACTCCCATAGTAATATAAAAACAGAAAAACAAAAACAAAAACCCTGAAGTAATCCATGTATCTGAATACAGTGATTGACAGCGAACAGACATGGCTGGTGAAACTTTAAATAGCCTAACAATTTGCCTTCATTGAGCCCGTTATTGTTATTATTTGAGCTTTTTTCCCGATTATTTTATTTATTTTTTTTGATTGCTTAAAGTATTACAAAGAATATTACATATGTCTCCTTTTTTTTCCCCCACCCTTGACAATCCCCTGGCCTCCCCTACCCCCCAGTGTCTTGTGTCCATTGGTTATGCTTATATGCATTTTAGCTTGTCTAAGAAAGGCTTAAAATAATATTGTCTTTCTGCTAAATTAACGTACTTTTATTCTACCTTGGTAAATACTTGTGTTCCTTTTTCTCTGACTTTGGAGAGCAAAGTGAAGTCGGCTTTGGACGGTAACATCCTGGACGTTTTAAGTGACACCCTGCTCCCTGACGGGGACCTTGGCCTCCAGCCCTGTCCCGGCGGCGTCCTCCACGCATGTAATTCTGGTCGCTTTCCCTTCCAGCTCCCTGTGGCGGCCAGTACACAGGGTCCGAAGGCGTGGTGCTGTCCCCCAACTTCCCCCAGAACTACACGGCCGGCCAGACGTGCCTGTACTCCATAACGGTGCCGAAGGAATTCGGTGAGAATGTCTTTGTACTTTTTATTCATTGTCATGCTTTTCATCGGTGTTCATTGTTCTACCTTTGTCCACCCTGTATGATTGAGTACACACCCACATACACACACAGGCTGTTACAGTGGGGTTGCCTCTGTTACACACACACACACACACACACACACACACACACACGCACGAGCTGATACAGCTAGATTCGCCCCGCTTGCTGGCGCTCACCTTACTCTTTCATTAGAGCTGTGACGTGCGTTTGGCACACGTGCCTCCATTTACTGCTCACCATGCTGTGGAATGGTTTTAGCTTTTCCCTGACACATGAATAAGATTTAGTTGCTCATTGTCAGTCGATGCGAAATCACACGTTTTTGTCAATACCATGAAGGCCGACATGCTATTGGTGTGGGTGCAAGCCTGATGAGGCGTGAGGCAGGAAAGTCCGCGGCAGGGACCCCCGTGGAGAGGCTGAGCGCTACGACCCTCCGGCCGGGAGCGAGACCGAACGCCCAGCGCAGTAACGGCAGCCGTGTCCGCACTGTGTTGCTGAGTCACGTGTACACGCTGCAAGGAATACAGGGATTTGGCATGAAAATAACCAGCTCTTAAGAGTTTCACATCCCTTCCCGAATGAGCCGGCTTCCCATCCCAGCCGGTTCTTGATCCCTGTACTAGTGTCCAAGCTCTCACCTAAACAGGCCCCTTTGCCGTGACCCTGCCAGCACCCTAAGGTGAAATTAAACAAAACCCACCTCGTTAATGTCAGACATGCAGACAGCGATCATCTTACGCCTCCCGCTCGGCACCAAACATCAAGGAACCACGCACAGTAGCTGTAGCCACGGAGAAGCTTCAGGGAGCTGAGGACCGAGTCCTGGGCCCCGGCCTTCGGAGGGGCCGGTCCCTGTGCGGGACAGCCGGAGCCCCTTCCCCCTCTAAGCGTGTCGCGCCTTCGTCCGCAGTCGTGTTCGGGCAGTTCGCCTACTTCCAGACGGCCCTGAGCGACGTGGCCGAGTTGTTCGACGGGACCCACCCGCAGGCCCGGCTCCTCAGCTCGCTCTCCGGCTCCCACTCAGGTAAACGCGGGAGAACCTGCCTTTCCTTCCATTCAGATGGGCGTGCGGCTCGTTCTAAACTCCGTGTGTGTGTGTGTGTGCATGTGTGTGTGCGTGCGTGTGTGCGTGTGTGTGCACGTGTGTGTGCACGTGTGTGCGCGCGTGTGTGTGCACGCGCATGTGTGTGAAGGAGAAACTTAGTAATCCTGGAGTGTGTTTGTTTGTTTAGTAAAATTTTATCTTTGATAAGAAATGTCCAGTGGACCTTTATCCCATAGATAAAGCCGTCTGCTTTGATCGTTGCACTTACTAAGATTATAAAAGTAGGATATCCATCTCAATAAAAGTGGAAAATATCCAAGAGAAAGGATTAACTGGGATGTTTTTAATTTCCATTCTATGTGTTGGGAGCTTCTTCCTGGAGCTAAACAGTATGAACATTTTGGTCTCACTCAGTTGACCCCTGCAAATACATAGGTATAGACCAGGGGTCCTCAAACTTTTTAAACAGGGGCCAGTTCACTGTCCCACAGACCGTTGGAGGGCCGGACTATAGTTTAAAAAAAAACTATGAACAAATTCCTATGCACACGGCACATATCTTATTTTGAAGTAAAAAAACAAAACGGGAACAAATACAATATTTGTATTTGCATGTGGCCCATGGGCCGTAGTTTGAGGACCCCTGGTATAGACCCACTACATCCACACATGTAACAGTACATGTGTTTATCACGTGTGTATGCACTCATCCATGTATGTGTGCATTTAAACATAGTTGGGCTTCATGAAGCACAGAATATTGGTTCACAACTTACTTGTTGTCCATATTTTCACTTAAGAGGACCTGTGTAGGTGTCCTCATCAGACCACACGTGCGGCCAACGTCACTGGTGTTTGTTCTGAGTGGTGTTCAGACGGGTGCGCAAGGCAGGTGTGTTCCCTGGGCCTCGCTGTGTCCAGCAGCCACCTGAGCACAGTGGCCCCTCTGTGGCCATCGGTCAAGGCCTGGTGGCTCCCAGTGTCCACTGTCGTTAAACAAAGGCTGCAGGGCCCGTGTCTTGATCATTTCTACCCAAGTCCAACGGGCGCTGTCAGAACGGCATCAGGAGATGCCATTGACAACACAGACACATTGAAATCCCACACCCCTTAGGGACCCATTGAAATCCCACTTCCCTTAGGGACCCATTGAAATCCCACACCCCTTAGGGATTCATTGAAATCCCACTTCCCTTAGGGACCCATTGAAATCCCAACTCCCTTAGGGACACATTGAAATCCCACTTCCCCTAGGAACACATTGAAATCCCACACCCCTTAGGGACCCATTGAAATCCCACTTCCCTTAGGGACCCATTGAAATCCCACACCCCTTAGGGATTCATTGAAATCCCACTTCCCTTAGGGACCCATTGAAATCCCACTTCCCTTAGGGACGCATTGAAATCCCACTTCCCTCAGGGACCCATTGAAATCCCACTTCCCTCAGGGACCCATTGAAATCCCACTTCCCTCAGAGACACATTGAAATCCCACTTCCCTCAGGGACACATTGAAATCCCACTTCCCTCAGGGACCCATTGAAATCCCACTTCCCTCAGGGGCGCATTGAAATCCCACTTCCCTCAGGGACCCATTGAAATCCCACACCCCTTAGGGATTCATTGAAATCCCACTTCCCTTAGGGACCCATTGAAATCCCACTTCCCTCAGGGACCCATTGAAATCCCACTTCCCTCAGGGACGCATTGAAATCCCACTTCCCTCAGGGACCCATTGAAATCCCACTTCCCTTAGGGACGCATTGAAATCCCACACCCCTTAGGGATGCATTGAAATCCCACTTCCCTCAGGGACCCATTGAAATCCCACAACCCTTAGGGATTCATTGAAATCCCACTTCCCTTAGGGACCCATTGAAATCCCACTTCCCTTAGGGACGCATTGAAATCCCACTTCCCTCAGGGACGCATTGAAATCCCACTTCCCTCAGGGACCCATTGAAATCCCACTTCCCTTAGGGACCCATTGAAATCCCACACCCCTTAGGGATGCATTGAAATCCCACTTCCCTTAGGGACCCATTGAAATCCCACTTCCCTTAGGGATGCATTGAAATCCCACACCCCTTAGGGATGCATTGAAATCCCACACCCCTTAGGGACCCATTGAAATCCCACTTCCCTTAGGGACCCATTAAAATCCCACTTCCCTTAGGGACCCATTGAAATCCCACTTCCCTTAGGGACACATTGAAATCCCTCTTCCCTTAGGGACCCATTGAAATCCCACTTCCCTTAGGGACCCATTGAAATCCCACTTCCCTTAGGGACCCATTAAAATCCCTCTTCCCTTAGGGACCCATTGAAATCCCACTTCCCTTAGGGACACATTGAAATCCCTCTTCCCTTAGGGACCCATTGAAATCCCACTTCCCTTAGGGACACATTGAAATCCCACTTCCCTTAGGGACACATTGAAATCCCTCTTCCCTTAGGGACCCATTGAAATCCCACTTCCCTTAGGGACGCATTGAAATCCCACTTCCCTCAGGGACCCATTGAAATCCCACTTCCCTTAGGGACCCATTGAAATCCCACACCCCTTAGGGATGCATTGAAATCCCACTTCCCTTAGGGACCCATTGAAATCCCACTTCCCTTAGGGATGCATTGAAATCCCACACCCCTTAGGGATGCATTGAAATCCCACACCCCTTAGGGACCCATTGAAATCCCACTTCCCTTAGGGACCCATTAAAATCCCACTTCCCTTAGGGACCCATTGAAATCCCACTTCCCTTAGGGACACATTGAAATCCCTCTTCCCTTAGGGACCCATTGAAATCCCACTTCCCTTAGGGACACATTGAAATCCCACTTCCCTTAGGGACCCATTGAAATCCCTCTTCCCTTAGGGACCCATTGAAATCCCACTTCCCTTAGGGACACATTGAAATCCCTCTTCCCTTAGGGACCCATTGAAATCCCACTTCCCTTAGGGACACATTGAAATCCCACTTCCCTTAGGGACCCATTGAAATCCCTCTTCCCTTAGGGACCCATTGAAATCCCACATCCCTTAGGGACCCATTGAAATCCCTCTTCCCTTAGGGACCCATTGAAATCCCACTTCCCTTAGGGACCCATTGAAATCCCACTTCCCTTAGGGACACATTGAAATCTCACGCCCTCACAGGCCCGGCAGTGTGCTCTGAACCTGCTTTAATCCGAAGGCGGACATGTATTTTGTGAGGTTTTTCCTAAATCCTTTCATTTTTAAAATCGCAGCTTTGGACTCAGAGACATTTCATTAAGTAAAACCTCAGGGAGTAATTGTCAAACATGCTTGATTCTGCATCAGTGATTAGTCAGTTCTTAGTTTCCTGCCTTATGGGCTGCCAGGCCCATCATCCCTGAGCTTTTCCAAACGAAAGCGGACGTGAGATCCCGGTTGGAACAGCACCTTCATGGGACGCGTGGGCGAGAGCTGAGCCAGACAGTCCTTCTGGAAAGGATGGGGGGGGGGGTGTAAGCCCTAAAGTGCGGTCCCGGGAGAATTCAAAGCCTGCATGTCACCTTCCAAGCAAGGGGCTTCTCTCCGAGACGCTATCGTCGCCGCGGTAGCGTGCACGTGCGGATGTGCGCAGTGTCTCTGTTCTCCCGCAGGCGAGACGCTGCCCTTGGCGACGTCCAATCAGATTCTGCTCCGATTCAGTGCGAAGAGCGGGGCGTCGGCCCGCGGCTTCCACTTCGTGTACCAAGGTAACCCTCCCTCCCGGCCACCCTGCCGCCTCCCACCCCAGACCTCGGTCTCCCGTGGAGGCACAGACAATGCCCACTTCCATTTTTTTGTTTGTTTTTTAAGAAATTGAAGACATTCATTTACTTATAACAAAAGTATTTTATCAAAATATTAAAAATTTTAGTTTGACCCAAATCTGTTTCTACTGCAAAGATAACTGTCCCTGATTTCTCTGGCCGGGGCAGGCAACAGACAGTGTGCAGATTATTTCTGCACGGCACCTCCCGCTTTGCAAAACGATTTCAACTGTATTTCAGTTTATCTAAGAAAAATATTTCATACAAGTTTAGATTTCAGTAACTTTTAAGGGAATACATAAATGTTATGTTTCCAAATCGTATTGCAAAAGCTAATTGAAAAGGCAATTTAACAGAACCCAGTAAGTGCCCCTGCGTCTGTCCCTCTAAACAACTGCTTCGTTTTGTTTGTGTTCTGTTGCCTTTAGGATTTCTGCCCCGTATGTTTATTTTTTAACGTGGGGCTTGGCTTGTCCACAGCCTGTGGGATCACCCCGAGTTCCCGGACCCAAGGCCTTTTTCCTCCTTCTGTCCCCCTGTGCGTGGATGCTCACCCCGCGCTTGGGGCCCAGGGCAGGGGTGGCTCTGCTGTGCCAGGGCCTCCAGGCCGGGCCGACAGGCTGCTGCAGGGAGAGCTGCGCCTCAGACGGGAGCGGCCCTTCCTTTCCCGGTCCCGGTTCTGCTTGGGCCTGGAGAGCTGGCCCGGCTCTGGGAGGTTTTCCTTGGGGGCCGGAGTCACCCCCCAGCAGGGGCTCCTGCAGAAACCGGTGACGTCATCGGGATGTTCAGAGAGTTTCGGAGAAGGACAGTCCTCCTGTCATTTACATCCGGGGCATCTCCCACCGCGAGTCCCTGCCCTGCACGTGGGTCTCGGGAGAAAACCCTGGGCGTCCAGAAATCCAGGGGCTGAGAGGTGATGGGCAGGGAGCATGGTGTTCGCATGAGCGGGAGGGAAGGACTCGGAGCCAGGCCATGTGGCCGCGGCTGGGATGATGCTGAGATGCTGCTGCCGAGTTAGAACCAGTCCCTTCGCTCTAGGCCAGTGGTTGCCGGCCGGTGGTCTGCAGGCCTCTGGTGGTCTGTGAGGCCCGGAAGGCCGGTGCCCCCTGCTACACCTTTTGTTAAAATGTAAGTAACTCACCAGGGATTTAAAAATGGACCCGAGTGGAGGGTGGCCCGTTTGGCAACTCACCGCTCACCACTACAGACTTTCTTAAAACAAGTTCAGTGTCCCCTTCTGTCCTGTGGAAGCAGGCGTACAAACCGCGGTCCATGCGGGTGACTTACAGAGGATCTACACGTTCAGTCATTTCCATCTGCAAAGCTTCAGGCTCCGGGCCCCGTCGGCCTGACCGCAGCCGCCTTTGATTTTTTTTAAAATAGAACCTCAATCAGATCATCGCATTAAATATCCGAGGCTAATGTCTATCCTCTTTGCAGAAGCTACACTTCAAGCCACCATTCCTAAAACGGGTTCCTCTTTAAAGCAGCGTGTTGTCATTAAAATGGAGAAAATACAGGAACATAGGCACCAAGGCAGCGATGCATAGCGAATGCCTTCTCCTTGTACTTGAGAATCATAATGACTCCCGCAGCCTCACTGTTTCACAAAATCCCAGCATACCCTCTCGCCTTGCTGTGTTCCTCCCGTGAGCTTATGCAAAAGTGGACGTGTTTGCGTCAGGGTAAACCCTTCGGTGCTACACATGAACGGTCAGATTGAGCGTTGCCTCCGAAAGATGGTAATTCTATGGAAGCCTGGAGGTGACGTGACGTCATTGTATAAAAACCTCCCGCATACGGCCCCCAGGTACCACGGCGGCAATCTTTCCTGCTATCAAAGCATAAGGCTGACGGGGACTTTCTCGCACCCTCGGCCACGGGATGTCTGACCAGGTTAGCCGACGGGTCTGTTAGGGAGAGCGAGCCGGGCGGGATGGCGGGGAAGACGGGGTGCAGGGGGCGCAGGCGCAGCAAACCCGCAGGGGAGCGGCACGAGCAGTGTGTCACTGTCATGGGAGGACGGCCCTGGGACAGCACAGCTCTGCGTGGCTGTTCGTTCTTTACGTGTAGACGGCGCACAGCTCTATGGACTCCTTCCCATAGACACTGTCTCACCTCTGCATGGAAGTGCAGTTTCATCAGAATAATCGTCTGACTCTCATTCACATAAAATTGCTGCCGCACCGAGTTGCCCACGTGGTGTCTGTGCCACGGAGGCTCGGTGCCCACAGGAGTAGCATGCTGGGCAGAGCCGTGGAGAAGGGGGTCGCCGCTAGAGCGCATCTGTGGGCGTGTCTCTCCGAGGCTGTGCTTTTAAAACTATACTTTTCTTGGTTTCAGAGAGGAAGGGCGAGGGAGAGAGAGATGGAAACATCAAGGATGAGAGAGAATCATTGATGGGCAGCCTCCTGCACACCCCCCATTGGGGATCAAGCCCACAACCCAGGCATGTGCCCTGACCGGGAATGGAACCCTGACCTTCTGGTTCACAGGTCGATGCTCCACCCCTGAGCCACGCTGGCCCGGCAGAGAAGCTGTTTCTTAGTGATCTCTTCCCCAGGAGCACAGGGTGAACTTTAATTGCCTAAAGGCCTCTGAGAGGCAAGGGGCCCCCGGGTCCACAGGGCAAGGCTGTGGGACGACACAGTTAACCTCCACGCCCGTGATCCTCCAACAGATGCCCTCACGTCCTCCACAAGGCCGTCATGGCGTGTTGTGTGCTTTGCCCCCAGCGGTCCCTCGCACCAGCGACACCCAGTGCAGCTCGGTGCCCGAGCCCAGGTACGGCCGCAGGATCGGCTCCGAGTTCTCGGCGGGTTCCATCGTGCGGTTCGAGTGCAGCCCCGGGTACCTGCTGCAGGGGTCGGCCGCCCTGCGCTGCCAGGCGGTGCCCAACGCCCTTGCCCAGTGGAACGACACCATCCCGAGCTGCGTGGGTAAGAAGGGTTCCTGGGTGGCGGCCGGGGCGGCCCGGATGCAAGTGGCCGGGAGGAGGCGGCCGGGAGGAGGAGGATGGAAGTGGCTGGGAGGAGGTGGATGGAAGTGGCTGGGAGGAGGCGGCCGGGAGGAGGTGGCCGGGAGGAGGTGGCCGGGAGGAGGAGGATGGAAGTGGCCAGGTGGAGGTGGCCGGGAGGAGGCGGATGGAAGTGGCCGGGTGGAGGTGGCCGGGAGGAGGAGGATGGAGGTGGCCAGGTGGAGGTGGCCGGGAGGAGGCGGATGGAAGTGGCCGGGAGGAGACAGCTGGGAGGAGGCGGCCGGGAGGAGACGGCTGGGAGGAGGCGGCCGGGAGGAGGCGGCCAGGAGGAGGTGGCCGGGAGGAGGTGGCCGGCCCCCTGCAGTGCGTTGAAGGGCTGTTGTCCACGCTCTGCGGGCTCCGTCCGTCCACCTTCCTGCAGACCTGGCCAAGGGGCAGTGCAGTGTGGAAAGAACCGAGTAGCAGCAAACCCTGCAGATTATTGTCCCAGGAAACCACTTGTCAGAGGGACACGAGGAAACACGTTCCTTCTCGGTCCTTACCCAGTCCACCATCAGCCCTCAAGCCATGAGCATGCCACATACTTTCATTTTAGGGGGAAATCATCACACATTGATTTGTGTAATGCCCTTTCATTTATTTTTTAAAAATATCTATTGATTTCAGAGAGGAAGGGAGAGGGAGAGAGATAGAAATATCAGTGATGAGAGAGAATCACTGATTGCCTGCCTCCTGCACGCCCCCCACTGGGGATGAAGCCTGCAACCCGGGCCTGTGCCCTGACCGGGAATGGAACCATGATCTCCTGGTTCATAGGTCGACACTAAACCACTGGGCCACACTGTCGGGCTGTAATTCCCTTTAATCAGCGTGTGCTGACGAGAATGCGCAGTGTAGCAGGTGAGGCAGCCCGAGTGGCGACCACGCTGTGTAAGAACCCCCCGCAGAACCGTGATTGGCACTTGAAGTCATTTGTATGTTTCCAGCGCCCCCTCCCCTCCCTGGACCTGCTCAGAGATGTCGTTAGCACGGCTGGGAGTTAGCCGCACGTCTGTGTGGGGAGAACAGTCCGGAAGCTCCCGCACATGGGGGGTAGATGATCCCACACGCAGGTCCCTGCAGAGCCGCCCTCGCTAAACTCATGGCGTCTCAGGGCCTTGACCAGATTTCCCTCCCGACACAAGGTCTCCGCCTCCCGGCATCGTCAACAATAACCCACGGCATTGCTGATGCGAAGAAGGCGGCGAGATTAGACCTGAGCCAAAAACCCGCTTAAGCCCGGCCGGCGTGGCTCAGTGTTTGAGCATCGACCTATGAACCGGGAGGTCACAGTTCAATTCCCGGGTGGTGGGCTGTTATGCCCAGATTTCAAGATCCCCCAAGACAGACCACCAGGGAGCCGAGTCCGATGCAAAAGCATAGAGTCATTTATTCAAGCCCGGGCTTGGTCCCCCTCCGCCTCCATGACTGGATGTGAGAGAGAGCCCCGAGTCCCAAGAGAACAAAGAATTTATAGGGCTTGGGGAGAGGGGTGGAGGTACTTGGTTGATTCGGTTGGTTGAGTGAGGGCCGGGTGCTAGTTTCCCTTGCTTTCCCATTGGCTGAGATGAGGGCAGGCTGAGTAACTGATACATTCTGTGGCTTTCCGGGCAGGAGGAGTTAGGGACACAGCTATCAGTTCCGTTCTGTTCTTTTACTATCAGTTCCGTTCTGTCCCTTCAGGGCTCCATTCCCAGTGGGGATGGGGGTGGGGGAGGGGAGGACGGGTGTGCAGGAAGCAGCTGATCCATGAGTCGCTTTCATCATTGATGTCTCTATCTCTCTCCCCCTTGGCCTTCCTCTCTGAAAACAATAAAAATATATATTTTTAAAAATGCTACTGAAGGTATGGCAGTCCACGTAAAAGCTCTCTTAGTGGCTGCTCACGGGGAAAGAATGCTCCGCACCAGCCAGCGCGGCCTCCCCGGCCTCACGCTCCCTCTCCGTGTCCCCAGTGCCCTGCAGCGGCAGCTTCACGCAGCGGAGGGGCACGGTCCTGTCGCCCGGGTACCCGGAGCCCTACGGGAACAACCTCAACTGCGTCTGGCGGATCCTGGTGGCCGAGGGCTCGGGCATTCAGGTGGGTCCTCCCTCGGCCGGGCGGGCGCAGCCAGGCCCTGGGCGCCTTCTCTCGCCTTGGGTGTTGGTTGGTTTAAACCTACAAACCTAGTCGGCTTCTCTCTTCTTCCCATTTCCACAAAGGGTCTCTAGGCACGCTTCTGTGTGAAAATCAAACCATAGATTCTCACCATGTTGACGTTGTTGGAAAGAACAGAATAGCAAACCCCACAGATTATTCTTGCTTGAAACCGCTGTCCGTTCAACACATAGAAACGCGTTTGCTTCTCTCTGTGGGCAAACTGTGTTAATAGCCCACAACCCGCGGGCAGGGCCTGTGGAAGTGCCGGTGCCCTCCCTGCGGTTGGTTCTCTTGGCTCCGCTTTCCTCTCGTGTCCACGTTGAGTTTCATAAAAGCCTCGTTGCCGTGGGCCGGTTTTTGCACCGAAGACACACGTTAACCCCCTGTTGCCTGTGGCAGATCCAGGTCATCAGCTTCGCCACCGAGCAGAACTGGGACTCCCTGGAGATCTACGACGGCGGGGACGCCACGGCGCCCAGGCTGGGCAGCTTCTCAGGTGAGACACGCCGTCCCCGTCCCTGTGGGCCGGGTCATCACACCAGCAAACACCCTGCCTGGCACTGCCCACGGGCCGTGTCCCATGCCCTCGTCCTAGGCAGAGGGTCCTAGGTGTCGGCAGTCCGGGAGCGGAGCGCCCACGGCGGGAGGAGAGGGCTTCCTCCTCAGCGAGCCGGCGCCCTCGCCCTCATCAGATGCCCGCAGCAGACGGGCCCGCGTGGCCACAGCAGCCAGGCCCGCGGTGCAGGCTCCCGGGGGGGCGACGGGCTGACAGTCAGGAGCCCAAGTCGCCGACCTCCCTTTCCCGCGTGGTGGTGTGTTGAGGGTCTGGTCAGGGAGGGACGGGCAGGGTGGGCTGGCGCTGTCGGGGGGTTGGGGAGACGTGTGGGAACTGGGACACAGTGAATGGACGGAGGTGTAAACAGTCACCCCCCCAGCACTGCTCCCCCCGCCCCCCCCGCCCGCTCCCAGCCCTGGGGTCTGTCTCTCTGCCCTTCACCCTGAGGAGCCAGTGCTGCTCCGGAAAAGAACCTGCAGGAAGCACAGGGCCGGCTCCTACCCCCAGGAGAGCTCAGGCGGCCACAGTGAGGCAGCAAGAAGCAGAGTTGAGGAGGGGCGTCCTCAGGGGAATTCAGGGAGCAGCTGGCTGCTGCCAGGTGGGGTGGGGTCAGCAGGGGACGGGGTGAGCGCTGATGTCCTGGGAAGGAGACGCAGGGGGGTGGTAGGAGGGCGGGGCGGCCGGAGGAGATGGAGCCCATTCAGCAGGGCACAGCGGCCAGTCCAGGGGCTCAGGCCACAGGCAGCACGGGCAGGTGGCCTCGGTCAGATGCGCTGGGCCTGTAGTCAGATGCGCTGGGCCTGTGGTCAGCTGTGGGTCTTTCTGCAAATGTCACCCCCAAATCCACAAGCGGTACAGGTGAGGGGCAGCCAGTGTCACCCAGGTGGGACAGAGGCAGGTGGAGTCGGTCTCAGGGGCGCTTTCTCTTTCCCTTTCTTTTTCTGTTGTTGGTATTCCTCACCGGAGCGTATTTTCTCATTGATTTTTTGAGAAAATGGAAGAGAGAGGGAGAGATAGAGAGAGAGAAAGACGGATGTGAAAGAGACACGTTGACTGGTGGCCTCCGCACGGGCCCTGACCAGGGCCAGAGATCAAGCCTGCGACCCAGGTACATGCCCTTGACCGAAATCGAACCCGGGACCCTTCCATCCGCGGGCTGACGCTCTGACCATTGAGCACGACCAGCCAGGGCAGTGTCTCTTCCTTGTGTTGCTGGTGAATGGGTCCTGAGCTGGGCCCACACGGGTGCAGCCGGCCATCCCGGGCCTCCTCCCTCCCCTTCTCCTCCGAGACGCGCTGAGGCCGGGCGGTGCCCTGCTCGCTGGCCGCCTGGCCGGCACGTTGCCCGGGCGGAGCCTGGGGCGGGAGGGGTGCTCCTCAGAAAGACTCCGTGCCTTTGTGGAAACGGGCCAGGCCACCCCACCTTACAGGCTCCACCATTTCCAGGCAAGGAAACGTTATGTAAGATAAGCCTGTGTTCTTCTCTTCACACGTGATTGTCTGAAACCCCCTCCTCTCACGGCGGGAACATTATTCCGTGTGACTCCCCCAGGGCTGCAGAGAGCACAGCGGGGACAGAGCATCCTGGGAGTGACACCAGCCAGGCTGCCACGGCCCCGCCTCCAGGAGCTCGCGTGGCTACGCCGGGTCCCTGCTCTGTCCCTGGGCCCCTGCTCTGTCCCTGGGTCCTGCTCTGTCCCAGTGAAAAAATACTGGTTATATTTCAAAGGAAAGCAAGTGAGAAGCCCCGAGCACAGTGAAATATAAGGATGTGTGTTCCTTCCTAAAGATGTATAATTTTATTGATTTCAGAGAGGAAGGGAGAGAGAGAGAGAAACATCCATGATGAGAGAGAATCACTGACCGGCTGCCTCCTGCACGCCCCGCACTGGGGATCGAGCCTGCAACCCGGGCATGTGCCCTGACCAGAATCGAACCGTGACCTCCTGGTTCATAGCTCAACGCTCAACCACCGAGCCACGCTGGCCGGGCAAGCACGTGTGTTCTGACCCTGAGATGTAGACAGAGGGACTGAGGAGGGCAGAGAACATGTGTGACTTTTACTGCCCCCGGGGCAAGGGACAGGCTCAACGTAGGAACATAGAAGCTGAGACTCAGTGTGAGCCTGTGGGATCAGACAGCCCTGGGCTGGGAAATGTGGACAGACTTCCCCAGGCCCGGCCAGCGTGGCCCAGTGGGTGAGCACGGAGCTGGGAACCAGGAGGTCGCGGTTCAATTCCCAGTCAGGGCACAGGCCCGGGTTGCGGGCTCCGTCCCTAGTGTGGGACGTGCAGGAGGCGGGCGATCCATTATTCTCTCATCATTGATATTTCTCTCCCACTCCCTCTCCCTTCCTCTCTGAAATCAATAAAAACATATTTTTAAAAACCCCACGACACACTATCCCCACGTGTTTTGCATCCGGGAAAGTGGATGCACGTGTGACGCTCAGTGGCCATGTCCACCCTCCTTCCAGGGACCACGGTGCCTGCCCTGCTCAACAGCTCGTCCAACCAGCTCTACCTGCACTTCCAGTCGGACATCAGTGTGGCCGCCGCCGGCTTCCACCTGGAGTACAAAAGTAAGGCCCTCCCGGCACCTGCCCCCCCCACCCCCTGGCACCTGCCCCCTCCCAGCACCTGCCCCCTCCCAGCACCTGCCCCCACCCTCAGCACCTGCCCCTACCCCAGCACCTGCCCCATCCCAGCACCTGCCCCCGCCCCCAGCACCTGCCCCCACCCCCAGGACCTGCCCCTCTGCCCCCCGCCCCCAGCACCTGCCTCCGCCCCCAGCACCTGCCTCCGCCCCCAGCACCTGCTCCCACCCCCAGCACCTGCCCCCACCCCCAGCACCTGCCCCCACCCCCAGCACCTGCTCCCACCCCCGGGACCTGCCCCCACCCCTGGGACCTGCCCCTCCGCCCCCCACCCCCAGCACCTGCCTCCCGTTGCCCAACTGGGGAGTGTCGTTAGAGGAAAATGAGCCCAGCCTCTTACTCCGCAGTGAAGTGTCTCCTGCATCTATGTTCCAAAGTGGGCTGAACCGAATCTCCCTCTAAGAAATATGTACGAGGAAGGACAAATTACCGGGGAGAGTGGGTGGGAGGGCCTGGAATAATTAGATGAAGCTACGGCTCCATTTCAGGTTGTTTGCACTAAAAGGCATAAAAAGTAACCTTTGCGATGTCGCTGGTCCTCCTGTGATAGGGACTCTTCCCACCAGCACCCAGGAGAGAGAGAACGGCAATTTCCAAGCAGATTATGGCCACGCGCCCTTTCGTTCCGAGTCTCCGCGGCTGTGAATAGCGGCCCAGAGCCACCCCTGTGCTGCCTGCATCCGTGCATTTTTCATTTTAATTGGAAGAACGTATCGCAGAGGAGCCGCTAACCTTTTAAAAATGGATGCGCAGCTGAGTTAATAGTCCACTAAACGGATGACAAAGGTCAGGGTCACAAATCTCCGGGGTGGTGGGTGACGCAGGCAGACGCTGCGAGAGCGAGCGGTGAGCATTTCCGATGCGTGGGTTTATTTCAGGACGCGCTTTCCAGCACTAAAAGCGCTCCATGCGCTTCCTCTCCTTTAACGAGCAGTTGCAAACAGGCGATGCGCGGCTCCGCAGCAGGAAGTGGTCTTTGGACCGAGATAAACAGTTTGCCGGACGCCACGGCACATGCGTCTCCGAAAGGCCAGGGTCCCGGCGGACGATGCATCTTCTGCCGCCGACACGGAGCCCAGGGCTGCTGCTCATCCCGTGGAACCTCCCTGCTTCTGCACGGGCATGTGTGTGCAATTACTCGCCGTTTGGTTGACGAGGACTGCTGTGGCGACAGTGGGGATGGTGCTGTGGGTGTTACTGATGGAGAATGTGTCTGGGAAACCTGCTGCCTGGCTACATCACGCACATGTGTAGGTGGGAGGATAAGCCTTCTTTATGTCAGGGTTCGTAAATCCGGTAATATCTTCAGAAGTGTTAGAAGTGAGGGGTCCTCCTCTCTTTTCCTCGCAAGGTTGTTATCTCGTGTTTTCTGGCGTGTCCCTCACTTCTGACGGGTGGAGGTGCGAGTGGAAGAAGGAGCCACAACGAGTGTTGTGTGCACTTAGCCGTGGACTGGCCACTCCAACCACACAATCATCTCCTTTCCCTGAATTCCCGGCCAATGTGCTTCCTTACAAGAGGGTGACAGCTGTTTCTCACAGATACGACTCTTGTTCAAGGATCTGAGGCCTTCTTTAATTGCTTAATGTAGTTGTTTATTTTTTAATGTGGCCGAACATAATGCTGCGTTTTTGTTTGTTTGTTGTTGTTGTTTTTAGTAACTCCTTTCAGATGCTAACACCATCCTGATAGCTCATGCCATTCCTTGTCTGTGGATCTCCAGGCAGGCCTTTCCCTGCTCTCATTCTCTCAGCCAGGTCACAGCGTGGGTTCTAGAAAGTGTACCCCGGACTCGGTCAACACGGACAGTGGAGGGGGTGGTGAAGGAAGCGGCCGAGAGACCATCCTGTAAGGACAGGGGAAGGCCTCTCTTTTTCCTTGTGGTGGCCTTCCACCATTTATGAGAAGTACCTGGTAATTAAACACCAGGATTGTTGTCTTAACAAACAGCCGCTCTGTTCAAACTGAGGGACGAGATAGCTGCTCTCAAGGCTACATTCTTGCTACACCTCCTCCCTGCTGTTTTCACATCTCGGATAATTCCCACCAAGGAGTCTCTAGTTAGAAAGTTTCCTTCCTCGCCCCCCTTCAAACAGGCCTCTTTTGAATTATTCATCATGTTTGCTCTAAGCGTGTGTTGCAGGCGTGGGGAAAATACTGATAAGACACTTCCTAGGACATCTGTAGGACTGTCGCCCAAAAAACAAACTCCACTTCAGCGCTGAACCCTCCTCCCTTCCTTGTCACTTAGAAACAGCCCAGGCTTACAAAGGGAAGCCGCCCTTTTTTAACGACACTTGGCCCTTTCCCTTCGTGGAAAGTAAAATAAACTTCCTCTCTGTATCTCCTCCTTTGGCTGTGAATTACTTCACAGCCCGTGTTGGCAGCCAAACCCCAACACGTCCGACATTTGTAATCTGTTGACGTAGTTCTGCATCTGCCTTGAAATATGTATGGCCAATCGGCAAGTTTCTAAACTCAGACTTTTCACTAAAAATTCTATCCATGAAATAGTAATAAAACCACCAACAAGCACGCGCTCTGTGCCAGCTCGAAGCGTGTCACAGCTGTTGGCGTATGTCCTGTCTTGGAGGTGTGCTCAGCTTTCAAAGGCGACGGAGCAGGACGTGGGTGTTCTCTGTGGGCCCAGGTCTCGGTCACCCTGCTGATACGTGACTGAGAGACGGACGCGAGTGCTCCTCATCGTGAGGAGGGATTTCCACGCAGGAGCAGGTGTGTGTGGACCCCAGCGGTCCTGTTGCACCAGCGATGACAGCGAGGGTCCCGTCATCGGATGGTACGTGGCAGGTCCAGGAGCCTGTGGGTCAGGTCCAGCGGGCCTGGCCCTGAAACCGGAGCTGATCCGGGTCGGCCACACCAGCTCCCGGTTCTCTCGGTGGAGATGAGGACGAGGCCGCTCCAATCAGCCCGCTCTTCTTTCCGAAGGACCGCTGGTCCGTTTCTCTAACCGGGAGACAGACCCTTTGGTGTGAAGGGATGGATCGTAAAACACTAAGGAAACCAAAAGCTTCTAAGGTGGTCTGGCCCCACGGTGTGACCCAGATTTCTGTGAATTTACAGAATCCACGTAAAGGCTGAAAATCGAGGCGTTTTCCAATGTCCCTGCCTTCACCAGCCTCTCCCCCCTACACTGTGAGCCTCACTGGACGTGGGACATGTTACACAGCAGGATCCTCCCCTGTCACTCTTGCTCTAGGCTCTTTATCCAGAGAAATAACCCAACAAAAACAAAAAAAAATGAGCAAACAAATATCTGGGAACTTCAGATTATAGACATGTAGATAGTGATGATGCTGGTTTATCCTGAAAATACAAAATCAGACCGAAAGGTGTATGAAATAGAACCTGCTACTGGGGACAACATGGGGAGAACTATTCTTGAATCAATAGGAAAGTATTATATAGAAATGTTTGCATAGAAGTATATAAGCGTCTATCTATAATAATAAAAGCATAATACGCTAGTTAGTCCCGACTGCTGAACAGCGGAACAACCATCCGGACGACCTTCTGGACGAAGCCAGGGCTGCGAGGGCCGAGCCCCTCGCACGAATTTCATGCATGGGGCCTCTAGTTGCTGTATATACTGACACGTTATATTAATCGAGAATATACTGCCTTTCTCCCAGCCGGTGGGGCTCAGTTTGTTGGAGCGCCATCCTATTCACCAAAAGGCGGCAGGTTTGTTTCCCGGTCAGGGCACATACCCAGGTTTCGGGTTGAAACTTCTGTCCAGTGCTTATAGGAGGAAACCGGAAGCAGGTCGATGTTTCCCTCTCACATCGACGTCTCTCTCTCTCTCTCTCTCTCTCTCTCTCTCTCTCTCTCTCTCTCTCTCTCTCTCTCTCCCTCCCTCCCTCTCAAATCAATTTTTAAAAAAGAACATGCTGCTGTGACGTATGTGATATGTCACATACGCCATGTGTAGAGCACTAGACGTGTGCTCGCTGAGCTCAGTGGGATTTGGTGGGAGAATCGCTAATGAGATTAAACATATGGGTTCTGTTGGATTGTTTCCATTTGTCGTATTTGTATTCTGTGGATTTTCCCCTCTTTTCCTGCCAGCTTTGGTTTAATTGAGTCTTATTATTGCTCCAATCTGTCTCCACAATGGGCTCATTGGATGAAACTGTTTAAAACTTTAATGGTCTCCCTAGAATTTAAAATATCCGTCATTAATACAGCACAGCTTACCTTCAGATGATACTCTGTCACTTTGTGAATATTACAATAACCTAAAAGGCATATACGTTTCATTTCTTTTTTCTTTTATGGCATTCTTATTTCATCTTTTATTTTACTTGTTATAGAGCCCACAGCATATTTGAACTATTTCAGTGTGCATAGTCAATATTCTTTGGAGTAATCAACTCTAAGAAAACATATTTCTATTTGCCTTTATTTCAGTGACTTACAGCTTTTGATGTCTTTGGGGAGACCTGGCTTCTCTTTGATTTTCTTCCATCTGAAGAACTTCTGGGACTTTTCTGTGGGCCAGGCCCACTGACCTGAATCCTCCAGCTTCTGGTGTTTCCTGAAGGTCGTCATGTCACCTTCGGTTCTGAGAGGGGTTGGGCTGAGCGTCGGAGCCTGAGCGGAAAGGTGTGGTTTTCGCATGTCAATGATGCCTCCCCATGGAATTCTCACTTCTTAGTTCATGAGGACAAGCTGCATTTCTTAGGCACTTGTCCCTGCTCTCTGCCTTCCTTGAAGCTTTTTTTTTTATCTTGTATTTTCAGCAGGTGGACTAGGAGGTGTCTGTGTGTGTGTGTGTGTGTGTGAGTATGTGTGTGTGTGAGTGTGTGCACAGGCGTGATATTCATCCTGCTGGGGGCATGCTCCCCTTCTCAGATCTGTGGTTTGGTGTCATTCCTCATGAACAACTCTTGGCCATCACCATCCCG